TAAGAATACCGCAAAAAAAGAGGTATTCTTGGAATTTCAGGTATTTGTAAAAATTTACATTTTTTTTGAAACAAAATTTCGGTAATATTTTAACCTATCAAATAATTTTTTGATAACATTGTCGGAAAAGTGACTTTTTTACCATATTTTTAAAAAATCATGATTTTCGGACATAAAATTTTTAGGTCTCTTTTGGGATTTAAACTTCTCCTTTGAGAGGAGAAGTTAAATCATTTTTGTATATTCATCAAAATCTAATGCCAAACCTTTTCTCTGTTTTTTTTTTTTAAAAAAAAATTGATGGGACCATAGATTTTATTTCTTCCAAATAAAATCTCACTTTTCCAGTTAAAGTAGAAGTATTTTATCTTTAGGGGACGTTTGGTTGAAGAGAAATTTTTATGAATCATTGGAAAATGTGATTAGTAGGGAAATGGTTGAGAAGTGAGTTTGATAGAAAAATGTAAAAATAGTTGTTTGGTTAGGAAAAATTTTACCGGGGAAATTAGGTAACTTTTGTAAAGTCTATGTTTGGCTTTTGGTTAAATATAGATGGGGAAAAATGTGCATTTACCAAAATAACCTTGCTTTTGGTTATTCATTTACTTAGTTATTTTATTTTGTTTTTTTTTTTTATTATTAGAACCACCGCTCCAACAGCCACCGGCCACCAAGAACTATCACCTAACCAAACACATCCCTCCCACGCCATCTTCTCCAGCCTAGCCACTGATCCAGAAACCATCACCGCCCCTTTTCTTCTCCATCTCAACCAAGCCATCGGTCCTCTTCCTTCCATAACTCACCGATCCAATCCAAGAACCGGTAACTAACAGCCAACCACAAAACCCACAGCACTCCAAAAGCCATCATTTCATTTTTTTTAACACAGACCCACAGCCAAGCTCCACCGTCGACCTCTCTTCATCACCATCTTTTTTTTTCCACCACACACCATCTTCATCGCCCCATAACTCAAATCGAGCCACCAACCCCAGCCATTCAGCCCCCAAACCACCATCGAATCTCCTTCCTTCCCCAAATCACCATCATAAACCAACTCCCCATCTTCAACCTTTCCCAAATCGAACCACCGATCCACAGCCGAACCACCATAACCCCTTGTTCCAGCATCACGTCCATATGTAAAACCAAATAGAGGGCACGCTCGTCATTTGGGTATTAAACACTCTGACCAAATAGATAGCAAAAACGCAATACCACATACCAAAAGGGTATCTTTCGTCGGCATTTTGCATAAAAATAGATATGCAAATCAGTTTCGTAGCATAATGCTTTACATAGCCAAAATTAGAAAATCCTTCAACCAAACGTAGTAACCTCAAAATTCCACTTCACATTTCGCCGGCTTTTTCAAAATCATCCAACCAAACGCCCCTTAATTTATCCCATTTATCCGATTAACTGTTTCAAAAAATGATTAGCAACTTAAACTTAGTCTTCATTAAAGTAAAAGCCACTGAATAATGACAAATATATGAAATGACAATCAAAATTCAATTACAGTATAAACATTTTTCCCCATCAAAAGTTCAAAATAATACAAATAAAAAATTATACTTTTATATTACCCAAAAAAAATTATAGTTTTAACTTGCACATTAATTGATGGGAAAAAGATTTGTGTTTTTAAAGGACATAAATTATATCCTTTTAATTTTTAACATTATGTATTACAGATAGGGGAATGTTATATTTACAAATTTTTTATTTACAAACTATACTATGTCTGACCGGTAAGACACTCTTGAATAAAGTATTACCGATCAGACATAGTGTAGTTTGTAAATTTGTAAAATAAAATGTGTCAATATAATCCTACTCTTACGGATAATATATAATTATAATATGAAAAGTAATTTTTTTCTCTCTCCTGGGACACTTCAACTAAAGTAGAAAGAAAAAAATTAATATAATTATATACTATCTGTAATATATAGTGTAAAAAATTAAAAAGACACAACTTATTTCATTTATTAAAACACACACTTAACCCTTAATTGATATGGATACTATCAGTACAAATACATGTAGATTTTACTCTTAGCCTGCACCCGTGTAATAACTCTAAAGAATCCAAGTCAAATCTAATAAATACGACCAATACAAACTTAAGAGTTAAGATACATTAAAATTATTATAAAAACAATAAATTCCAAAAGTTTGATATAAACTAAGAGGTTTGCATCTATCATGTCACATGACATAAAAAAGTTTTTTACACACACACAACATTTTGTGGGGCCCGCACTTTTTGAAGCAAAAAAAAAAAAAATACTAAAGCACGCAAAACGAATCTCTATAACTTTACACAATCATTTTTCCTATAACATAACTCTTATAAAACCCATAAACTAATAATCCCAAAAGTTTAAATTGTGAAGGGATAGCAAATGGTTATTTGAGCACCTCCTAACACATAAGTTTTTTAGGGGGCGTTTGGTTAAGGAGAAATTTTATGAATAATAGGAAAATGATATGCATAGGGAAATGGTTGGAAAGTGAGTTTAGTAGGAAAATGTAAAAAAAAAATATTTGGTTGGAAAAAATTTGACTGGAAAAATTAGGTAACTTTTATAAAGTCTATGTTTGGCTGTAAATAAAATATAGATAGGAAAAAAAGATGCTATTACGAAAATAACCCTGTTTTAAAAAATTATAAACAAAAACACACTCTGCATTCAGTAATGAATATTAAATACAAAAACTACAAGTTGGGGGCACACTTCAGACAACTATTTATGAATACATATTTGATGGCATAATCATTCCGTGTACATGAATAATCTTTCATTCTCAGGCAAAGTCATTAAATACATTTCAGGTTTAAAAAATTATCGTTTTGGATCCTGATGACATCCAAGTATGATTATTGTCCTCTGCGATAACGCTGTTCGGGGGAACGTCTTCTTCAACACCACTGTTTGGAGGACCAACTTCCGCAACGACGTCGTTTGGAGCAGCATCCTCAGCTTCAACGACGCCGTTTAGTGGATCGTCATCAGCGACAACGCTGTTCGGGGGAACGTATTCTTCAACGACGACGTTTGGGGGAACAACTTCTGCAACTACGCTGTTTGGAGGTACGTCTGAGGGAGCATCTTCTGCTGCAACGACGGGTTTGGGTTTGGGGGATCGTCTGGAGCATCATTATTCTCCTCCTACTCCTCCTACGCTGCAACTTCGTCCTTTGGAGCGCTTAATGTTTTGTCAGCTTCGTCATCAGCTGCAACTACGACTCCTTTGTTCTCAAGTGCATTCCCTTTCTGGCGCTTCTTCACTTTCGCGCGCTATTTGGAAGGTACGCTCGTCATCTCATTCTTGCCCAATGTGACCATTTAGGTAGCTAAGATGCAATACCACATATCAAGAGGGAATATTTGGCCGGTTTTCTTAATCAGATAGACATGCAAATTGTTTCGGTGGCATAATGATTTAGGTAGGCATATATTCAAAACGTTTAAACCAAACAATGGCACCCAATAATTCCACTTCTCAAATGCCCATCTATCTCATCATAATCTTCCAACCAAACACACCCTTAGATTGACAACCGTGAACATTAACAAGAATCAAATTACAAACCATATGATCATGTAAGCTTTTAATACTACACATGTCAGGAATTAACAATCTCAAAAGCTAAAACATTTAGTAGAAATTAAATATAAGGTATATATATCTAAGACTTTCCTCGCTTTAACATGCGGTTGAGATTAGCAACCCATGTCTACCATCAGGACATGATAGACATGAAAACAGAGTAATACATGAAAATGTAGGATTTGAGCATATATGTCCAGTTGTTGGCCGGTCAAGGAAACTATGGTAGGTCAAAACTATCATAAATGGGTTAAGCGATAATTTATGATAATAAGTGAATTTAACACTATATTTTAACACAAAATCTTAAAATGTTTGGTTTATTAATCCTTTCACTTATATTATACTTATTTAGTCCATTTTTAATTAAAGGACTTCACTACTCACATTTAAATTCCTCACATTAAATTTTTATTTTATTTTTTTAAAAAATATTCTAATTGATTTATTGTTTCGTGACTAGTTCGATTCGAGACGAGTCCTGAGATTAAGGTTTTAAAACCCTTTTAAACACAGTATTCTATTTTTCTTTGACAAATAAGACAACAATCGTTGTCGTTTTCCCATAATTTGACGTAAACCTCTTTGAGATAAATAGTCTTTTTTGTGCAATTCAAAATGTGAAGTAAGTTTCCGTATCTTATTGGTGAAATGAAATACTTGAAATTCAACCGACTCTGGGTATTCTTTTTTTTTTTTTTTTGAAGTTAGCGGTATAAACGAGTTTTGGATCATATAAGGCCCTTCTTTTTTATAGATATTTTTATTGATTAGTAAAAGTAATGACACTAATTTTTAAATGCATCATTGGCATATGCCTAACTATAATCTCATTTTCTGATATATCTTTCTTCTGCATATCTGAAGGTGCTGATATCGGGTAACCTGGATGTTGATTACCTTGGAAAAATTCTTGAGTTTTCATTGGTCAGTTTGCAGAACTGAAGAAGAACAAAACACATGCTCTCATCCCACCTGCTCAATTTTCTGACGCCTACCACCATCATCACATATTTACACGAGTGAAGAATAGTTTAACAACTGAGCTACCATGTGTGTTTACGGGAGTGAAGAATAGTTTACCAAATGAGCTACCTACTAGTCCGATTAAATTTTTTGAATTGCATATTCTACGTAATTTATAATTTACTTGCATGTGTTTTTCTAGTAATGCATTGAATAGGAAAAAAGAAGAGAAGATTATCTCTTATATTAGAGACAGCTCGTGTCATTTAAATTTATTGACGTGAGTGAAGAATAGTGATTGATGATGCATAAGTATATAAATTACATAGGCAAATATTATCAGTTTTCATAAAGTGGGTCAAGTATTGCTTAGCCTCAAAACGGCCTTTCTTTAAGATTTGGCACCCTCATTAGGATCTAAGATGAGTACAAACCCTTGCTTCCTTGTAGACTTTGCCTGGTCTGCAAAAGTAGCCTTTGCTTGGATTGCAATGGCTATCTTGTGAGCAAATGCACAAACCTTCTAATGCACAACCATCTTTCAGCATTGTCAATCCTCCTTTCAGCCCAAGCACTTGGTCTGTCCACTCACTAGAAAAAAGCCCTTGTGAATCATACCGCTCTTTAACCTTAAAAAATTTCCCTGAGTTTTTGTACTTCTTGATTGCTCCTTCAAATGCCAAGTTCCTATTCTTACCCCAATGAGGTAGCCCTCCATATTTGAAAATCCCTAGCTGTTCAATCTCTTCAAGAATGTCTTCATAAAGCCTAGGAGTCATTGGATCTTTGCTGCGGTAATATGTGATATCAACATCTAAAGCATCCTCTTGTTTTCCCAAGTATGCACTTGAAGCCTTGACATAGCGCATGAGAATTCCATTATAAAGCTCTATGCCACACAATCCCTTTGGTTCCAATTTAACTAGTTTTTGCACATCTTCAATAAAATTTCTCACAATAGACAAGCTAATGCTAAATGTGGTTTGGTGAAAGAACTCTCCCTTCACCCTTGAGTCCCAAGCACATGCTGTGATCTTTGCATCTTGAATACTGTCCAAGCATGACCCAGATGCCTGCAGGCGATTCTGAAATCCAATTACAGGGTATCCAGTAAAGATTATACCTGCAATTACCAAATATAAAACAAATACCTTTATCTTAATAAGTTGAAACATTTGTTAAAGGGTAAAAAAACAATTATTATGTTTTGAGACTCATGGGGTGCACCATTGTTAGTAAGTCCATAAGCAGCGGTAACAAGGGCATTCGTTGTTATCTTTGCAAGCACGCACTTTCCATCAGCATCACTAGTGGATTCTTGAGCATCCTCTGGAACCCCAATAACCCAAAAAATAAATAAAAATGCGAGCAACATTAAAATTCATTCATTTTGATGTTTTCTTTCAACTATATATGTTTAGGGGAGAGTTATAGTTATAAACTTATTTTTTTACAAACTATACTATATACTAAGAGTAATATATTATGTGCTGAAATGTACTACTCCTAATATATGATATGATGTAATTTGTAAAAAAATTTAAATAAAAAATTTATAAATATAACTTTCCACGAGGAATGAATAGTACAAAGTTTGTGAATTTCAATTCAATAAAGCTAAGCTGACCTGTGGTTCTTAAGATTGCCAATTCAAGTGAAGGAGTGGGACGGAAAGGTATGAAATCATAGAGACCATTGCCCGATAAATTAATGGGGACACGATCATCAACACGGTAAACAACCTTGTGTTGACTTGGGTACCACGTTATATCCGCAAACTCATGTTCATGTCCAAAAGCTCCCACTTGCTCTCCCAAATCCGAATCATCTTTTGTTAAATAGGTGATGGATCTCTTGAAGAGGGGTTCTAGTTTTAGAGTAATCTACAAAATGATAAGCAGTCATCGTACGCCTCTTACATGATGTACAAACTTTGCAAAAAATCTCAATATAAAACAATATATGTTACTAAAAATTTTTAAGACATGTTGGGGAAAAATGTGTTTAAATAATTGTTATTTTAAATTAATAAACATAATACATCATATAGAAATATAAAATTATTAATATAATCTCCCCGTCAACTTAAGTTTTTGAATTGAAATAATTTTTTATATAATATCATAGTCTCCATAACCAAATGATCGTGAGTTCACTCCTCACCGTCAATGACTCTCGTGTGAGGTGACGTATTAGAAAAATATAAAATTAACGACTTAAGTTTTTGGTTGAAATGATATATATATATACGAGGAAACATTTTCTCCTTTTAAAAGAGAATTTTTTTTCTCCTATTACTGACTTATAGCATAAGTGAGTTCCACCTTGAATTTTTTTTCTCTCCACTATTTTGTAGGCCTCACTTATACTATGAGTCTTTAGTAGGAGAAAATTTTTCTCCTTTAAAAGAAGAAAATGTTTTTCCTATATATATATATATATATATATATATATATATATATATATATATATATATATATATATATGGGGCAGATTATATTTACAAATTTTTTGTTTACAAACTACACTATCTTCTCCCCGGAGTAGGGGTGTAAATGGGCTAGGTCGGCCTACAGGGGCCTACGACCTAGCCTATATTAGGCAAGACTTGGCCTATTATAAGTAGTAAAAATAATAGGCCTAGGCTTTTAAAAAAACCTATTTAGAAAACAGGCCATAGGCTTTTTTTGTACATGTCGGGCCTATGAGCCTACAGGCCGGCCTATATCATATTATTTATTTAAAATATAATAAATAAAATTATTATTTAATAATTTTGAATAATAAAATAATATTATTTTAGTTATTCATTTAATTGTTGAATGTTTAATAGGGTTAAACAGGCTAACAAGCCTAGACCAAGGCTTTTATTTTTTGAATATAGGTCAGGGCAGACTTGTAATTTGGAGCCTACATAGGCTAATAGGCTCGGGCATACCCAATGTTTTTTACACTGGCTTGACCTATTTAAGCCAAAGCCTAGCCTAGCCCAGCCCATTTACACCCCTACCTGGGAGAATATAGTGCAATTTGCATAAATTTGTAAAAAAAATTTGTAAACAGATCCTTCCCTTATAGATATATATGAGAAAAATGGGGCTACAAAATAGTGTAGAAAAAAAAATTATGATAGGACTCACTTATGCTATGAGTCACTAATAGGAGAAAAATTTTCTACTTTAAGGAGAAAATATTTTCCATATATATATAAGGAAAAGTGTTTGTCATTTTAAGAGAGAGATATACACAAAATAATTTTTTTATTTAAAATTTAAATTAAAAAAAACCACTCACTTTCTCTCTCCCATGATTTTCCTTTTTTGTGTCTATCTGTCTCCTAAATTGACATAACTTATGTCATTTAAAATGACAAACACCAAACTCATATATATATATATATATATATATGGAAAAATATTTCTCAAGCAGCTTATGATAAGTTTATCTCTGGCTAGCCCAAAACTATGTTTTATTTATTTATTTCCTTATATTAACTGATTTACCTTTGAATGGTTATGATTCCCCTTTTCTCTCTCTTCCTTTATCACCATTTATCCATCTTTGTACAGTTATGATTTAGTAGCCGGAGATTATCTCAAGCAGCTTGAGAAACGATAAGCCCATATATATATATATATATATATATATATATATATATATATATATAGCTTAACATTTCTCAAGCTGCTGGAGATAACTTTATCTCCGACTAATAAATCATAACCGTACAAAGATGGATCAATGGTGATAAATGAAGAGAGAGAAAAAAGGAATCATAACCATTTAAAGGTGAATCAATAAATATAAGGAAATAAATAATCAAAACGACGTAGTTTTGGGGTGGCCGGAGATAATCTTATCGCAAGCAGCTTGAGAAATATTTTCCGCATATATGTATATGGGGCAGATTATATTTACAAACTTTTTGTTTACAAACTACACTATGTAGGACCGGTCCTACATTAATCACACAGTGTACGACCGGTCCTACATTAATGTAATTGCAAAAAAAATTTGTAAACGGATCTGTCCCAATATATATAAAACTTAGTTTAGAGGAAACCAATAAAGTATACTTGATGCTCATGTACAAATAGAAAACTCATGCTCGTTCAAAACTAATAACCATTTAATTTCACATATCCCTAACATTCTTTGAGTCTTTGTCGAATCGTTTTGTTTTTTCCCGTTTGTCAATTTTGTCAAACAGGATGCGGATGCTTGCTTACTCAGCAAAATGAAATAAACAAATAAATGCTACAGGGTCTTAAGAGGGGTAGTAGATCGAGTTTTAGGGTAATTTACAAAATTTATTGACAATAATCACAGGCTATTTACTTTTTTATAGATTTAAATCAACATAAGCCTAATAAACTGTGTCCGTTTTGCCAGGAACTAAGTTTAAATTTTATTTTTTTTTATTTAAAAAAGGTGCATTTCTTAATTTTTATTTTGTAGTTGTGTTGTGCCTACACGATTGTGCCAAGGCGAAGCTTTTGAGCCCGTAATATATAATAGAAAAAAATATGTGTTATTTTAAAAAATATAAAGTTATATTATTTTAAACGAGAAAAAAAGATAGATAAAAAGAGAGAGAAAAGACAAAAAAATAAATAAATGTATGAATCTCATCTCCTTATAAAAATGAAATAATATAAATTATGCATAACAAAAAGAAAATATAAATTATATCATTTAAAATAATAAACACTTTTTCGTAGCACTGCAATGTTTTGGGCCGTACAGCATTCGTTACGAGTATTGTTTTGCTGGCATTTTTTTTTAGTTTCGTAGCTAGCATTCATAATTGTCTTGTTCAGGGTGTGTGGAGCACCAGAGTGGCTTGACTTTACTATTTATTTATCTTCATAATCGATCTTTAATGAGACTGGTGATACAATAAGACTCCCTAAGAGCTAGAGATTTCAATAAAAATGACAAATAGTCACGATTTTCAATGCATAAGTACGAATTACCCCTATTGCATTATTACTTTGACCAACACTCAGAATTTAATTTGATTTGACAATTTAAAAAAAACACTTAAGAATATAGAGATAATAGATTTATAGTATTAATATTTTTTATATTATAAGAAATAATTTTATTTTTTATTTTAAATTTGTAAAACTTATATTTTTTTTATTTTTTTTCATATTACCTTATATAAATTGCACATACTTTTATATATGTAAAAGATAAAAATATTTTTTATAACATGAAAAATAAAAATTTCAATAAAAATGATAAATAGTCACGATTCTCAATGCATAAGAAGTACGAATTACCTCTATTGCATTATTACTTTGACCAATACTCATAATTTAATTTGTTTTGACAATTAAAAAAAAGCACATAAGAATATAGAGATAATTGATTTATAGGATTAATATTTTTTTATGTTGTTGGAGATAATTTTATTTTTTATATATATAAAAGTATGCAAAATTAATATTTGTTTTTCTCTCTATTCTTTTTATATAGTCATATATGAGTTTCACATACTTTTATATATCTGTAGAAGATAAAATTATTTTTACAAGAAATATTAATCTCTATATTTATTGCTATCAAACAATAACTTGATTTGACCTTTTTCATATAAGGGACCCAAAGTATGAAGGTATTTTACATATTTATTGATAAGTGCCAATTACCAAAAGTTTTTCTAATAATTAGAATTACGGGTATTTTTCCACCAAACTAATGTCAAGATTTGAATTTAAATTTGAAAAACATAAAATGAAGTACTATTGAATTGAACTGCATTTGCCCGTTTATATTTCTAATGCATTAATGTACCATTGTATTGTTATTGTTTATTGCCTTTTGGCTGCACTCTATAAATTTGCTGAAAGCTGACCACAGCAAGACAGAAAGATATGGGTGGCCAATTTAAAATAGGATGATCTCAGCCATTTGTCCACTATATGTAAGACTAAAATATACTTCAAAATGGTTACCAAAAAATATATATATATATATATATATATATACTTCAAAATGATAGTTGTTTGCTGGCTGATGGAACAAGTGAATAAGAGGTACAACAAGTGATTCAGAATATTTTATTAGCCTATGTAGATCACAAATTAAAAAAAGTAGATCACCAATTGTCTTCTAGTGATTGGTACTACACCAATAATTTAGGGCTTGAATTTTAATTATGTGTATTGAGTTAATTTTTAAATTCATAAAACTCATTTTCGCTTCAATCAAGAACATTTTTGCTTGAAGCTGATAACAGACTACAGTTCACCTAGCTTGTGAGGATTCAGGCATATGAAAAGAGAAAAAACATGTCAAACAAAGAGCATTGCCATGTTCAAGAAGATACAAAATAGAGATCATACCTGTGAAATAACTCCCAGCACCCCCAGTGATACTTTGGCTGCATTGAGATTTTCATCATGTTCATGTAGGCTCTCAACCTTAGCATATCCATCTTCAGGACCTGCAGGCCTAACAATACTAAGCTCCACAACATAATCATGAACAGAACTTCCTTTCCCCCACAATGTGCTTCCATGAGCACCAGTTCCCATAAGGCCACCAATTGTCAAGCCCCACCAATATGGTGCATATGGCAATGCCAACCCAGCCTTTGCACCTTCATTGATGAGCTGCTTCATTGTCACACCACTCTCCATTGTCATTGTCCTTGCTTCCACATCAATCTTCAGTATCTGGTTGAGATATTTGGTGCTTATCAGCACCCCATTTTGGCCTTCAGGGCATACCAACTTTGGAATGCTGTGGGAAAAACGGGTAGCAACTTTCATCTTACTTTTGTTCCTAGTTGCTGATGCAACCATTGACACAAGCTCTTCCTCAGTTGTTGGGTACAAAACTAGAGCAGCTTGACAGATGCTTCTATCAGGGAAGATGCCATAGGAGTTTGTGATAGTGCAGCTTGTGTTCTTTGAAGAGCACTTGATTGGATCCTCTGGAGGAGTAGAGAGCACCAAAGAGAAAAAAAGAAAGATAAGAGTTGATCTGAAGGCTTTCTGAGACATCATCCCCTTCAAGCACAAAAATGGCATGGTTTAAAGGGTTGAACTTCAATGTTTCTGTGATCTTTTTTAGACCATAAAGATTTGTGTTTCACGTATATGTAGCTTTTTTTCTAATTAAGGAGTAGAAAGCAAGGAAAGTGCTGGGACAGAACTTTAATTGAGCATTCCTTGTTATAGAATCAAGGTCAAAGGTTAAAATTGTGTACTACATTTCTGTGTCTGGTATAAGAAAAAGGAATGGATATGTTAAATTCACTTTATTCAAGGGATATAGTTATTAATTGGTTTCAAAAAAAAAATTATTTTATAAACTAGAAGTATTTTTTCATGAGAAATAATCTTATTCACCACAAGTCCAGGATTAAGATTTTAAATTCTTTCAAAAAATAATACTGAAAAAAATCAAATACATTCTTTCATCTTTATTTGCTCAGCTCTAATATATCAACTGACCTATAATCATTTAATGTTGGTTTCAATTTTGGATGTATCTGTATTTGATACACGTGACAAGTGGGTCAGGATTGTTTTAACTTGGAAGTGATGAATTTTTGTTGATTTGGCATTGAGCCAAGCAGCTAGAATCCACCTGTCCTAAACTTGGCAATAAAATAAGAAAAATAAAAATAAAGAAGTGCTGCTATACCTTCAAGCGTGCTCTGTGTTGCCTTTGAACTGAAGGTTGGATTATATGGTGCTAGGAAGTGATCTTGCACTAAGGCCACTTACTCATTGTTGAAGCCAACACATTATACACATCAACACATATTTCAATAGATTCTTGCCACATCAATGGCGTATTCTGTCAGTGGAGACCTTATGAAATTTGCATATTTATGTGATCTAGGAATTTTAATTGACTATTTTTTCTTATATTTTATTTTTGTGGACTGTGGCGTCAGATTCATTTCATTTTTTGCTCTGCGGTTTAGTTACACTTTTCCCCCACTTTCATTATAACGTTTAATTGTATGATTACAAGCTGAATTGGAGCACTGACAGCTAATTAATTGAAGAAAACAGCTACGCGTAGGGGCAGTGTCAAATACACAAGACAGGCAATCAAACTAGCATAAAGTAGAGTTGTTGGGTGAATATTTTGGTAATATAGTATGTGATAAACATATTACTGATTTTTGTCTCAGCAATTGACTAATTTAAAAACATAGGAGATATAAAAATATGAATTTTTGTGCTCAAGCAATTTTCAAAAGCAAGCAGATGACAACAGATCTATTGATAAAACATAAAGAAATGAATCTATACACATTCTCACTGGAATTATTAATCCACTCATTACTTAAATATTTAAGGAGTAAGTATATCACTCAGGCTTTCACTGAATTAATATTATCATAAACTTATTTATATTTTCACTTTTCACATTCAAGTAATATACACAGAAGATCGAAAGGTCTTTACTCAAAATATAATGTGATCTGGTTAATGGAAAGATAAGTAAAGAGAAATATGACTAAAGAACTGGAAACAAATAAAATAAAGTATAAGTACAAACCAATGTTTAACTCACAATCCCTTTTATATTTCTTCCTCTTTTTCCTTTTTCAACATTTTTATTTTTTAACCCTAAAATTTTTTCTTTTCTTTTTCTATCTTTTCGTTTCGATATATAAATTTTTTTCTTCAATACTTTTATTTGCACAAAATTTAAAGGGCAAAACAAAATATATATTTTTATTTATTTATTCACCATTTTTAAACATTTATTTCTGCCCAAATTATATCACCTCTTTTTTACCACTAAACATCGTGAGACATATATTTAGGCTCAAGGGGCTAAACAAATGATAGCATAATGGGTGGCTATTTGGCCAAGTGGCTAAAAACAAAACAATACCTCAATCATATCGTTAACCATCTCAACAAAAAATAAAACAAGTTTTAGAGCATTTTCAATAGTGAAGTGCACACCAAAATACAAATTCCTATTTAGCCTCAAAATCCCTCGGCTATGAGTGCATGATCCAACTAACTATTATCTCTCGATCACTCAAACTATAATCCTAATATTCCTGTTATCTCTTAGACTTACTTAATGAGTGCTCGTTTAATAAAAAACCAAAACTAGTATGTCAGTCATCACACTAAGGATCAAAATCACTAATTAATTCCCCTATCAACTCTTTCATTTTTACACAATTCCATCATAAAAAAAAAACAAATCATCCTAGGAGAAAGAAGAATGCAAAGAAAAGTTGACAAAAACTTCCCTGTAAAAATTTTGCATTGAGCGCTCAATAGGGCCATGAACTGCTACCGTCAAAAACTTGTTGTGAAAAAATGAAGTGTACTGATCGTACAAGTAATAAAGTGAAAAAGTAAGATATCGTTTCCACGAGGATTGACCTATTAAACACTAATTTCGCTACACGACAAAAGTTGGATCAACTGCAAAGTTTGTTGAAAATATGATTTAAAATATAAAACTAAAACAGAACCTATCAAATAACTATCAAGAACAAGAACCAAGAACTCATAATGAAAATTGGATTAAAATCAATATGCAAAAGCGTAATTAAGATTTCGACTTTCTCAATTTCATCCTAATTAATCTACCTTTTCCTATAACTAATATTCAACTTATGTTATTGACAATTCTTTCAAGCTTATCCAAAACTCTATCCCTTTGTGTTTCAATCCTTTACCCTATTAAAATCATAAAGTGATCTCTCATAGGGCAAACATTAAGAACAATAATTAATAGTCATAGATTGCGCAAGTCTATCCCTAGATCATACAAAATCTAGCAATTAATCAATCAGAATCCTACACCAATATCTCTATTGTCGTGCAGGATTCTAGTGTTCATTCAAGATTGGCCAAATCCTAAACAAAACTATGAATTAAAAACAAATTAATTGCATAACATAAACATTGAATATCAGATTACAAGAAAGGAATAAATATTACCAGGAATCCATAGGTCCTATCTAACCCTGACTATAAAGAAACCTAGCCTAATATAGTCACGAAAACTAAAAAAATAGATGAAAATCTAATGGAAAACATAAAAGAACGAAGTAACCGGTCTCCACGGAGAAGTCTTGACCGTTCCTCCGCCTTTTCCTCCAAGAATCCCCAAAAAGTGATTAGAAAAGCCCTAACACGTGCCTTTTTAACAAAAAGATCAATGGGCTTTTATTTATGAGTTGCTCGATGTGTTTGCTCACTGAAGCGAGCAAATTCGTGAGCATATTTGATCTACTTGCTGAAGCGAGCTGCAACATAAAACAACTTTGACAGCAAAAGTATGATTTCATAATTTGGGCATAACTTGAGCTATACTTGTCCAATTTATATGATCTTGATCTTGTTGGAAAAATAAAAGAGAGATATACAGCTTTTATGAAGAACACAAGATTCAAATCCATCATATTCGATCTGGAAAATTGGCCAAAAGACAGCTTCAAGAAGATTTTCACTAAATGGTTGCTCCACATTATCGCTTTAAGTCCTTCTAGCTTAACCATTACTCTAATACTTCAATTCAACTCAATTGTCCTGCAAAACAAGCAAAATTTATTCACATAAATTAATAATTCAAACTCTATGCTTTTTAACCAAATAATTATAAATTTTCATACTTTTGATTATATATAAAAATATTTTTAGTCCTTAAAAATATGATAAACTATGAGTTTATCGTATGGAATTTTCAAGAGTACGTGTTAGCATACTAAGACTTAATACTTATGCATGGAAAACAATTCAATATCAAGGACATGAAGAAACTTGAAAAAAAATATAGAGGAGGAATAACCAAATAGATTGGTTTAACCGTAAACAAGGATGTATAAATGTTCAGATCTAAATCATGTTACAAAAATAATTTTTGTAAATTATTTATTTTTTAACGTGAATGACATGCTTTTGACAAAATTAATCAAATTTAACGTTGACACAAGTTAACTCACGCACACTAGATTGCCAACAAAAAAAAAACATAGATGGGAAGGGAAGCCATGATACAACACGTGTACTTAAGTATTTTGCTTGTGGTGGGAGGAAATTTTGAAAAAGAGTACTACCAATAATAGGAAAAGTATGAGTTTTTTTTTTGTTTTTTTTATTTCATACATTAGAAATGTTCCAAATTTAAAACTAGTTTCTTTTGACTCTTGTACTTTTTCAAAAAAGTATACTTGATATTAAATTTAAAAAAATTGTTTTGTTTACTTTTGGACGATCTTAGTCTAAGCTTTTAGAACCTTGGTGTAAATAAAAAGAAAAGATAATTACTCTTTGTGATGATTTTTCCTCCTCTACTTTAACATGCATTATTACATATAAGTAATTGAATAAAGTAGATGAATGATGAAGATTGAATATAACAATTTTTTATTCTTAATCCAGTACAAAAATAACCAACCCCTAGATTTTGATATAATATGACAAATATGATAATATAGGCAACCCGTAATGTAATCCATGTAACTTGTTGAGTGGGCTAGTACCAACCGTAACACATTACATTTAGGGGAAAAAAATTCTCGTGAGATAATTTTATTTATGCAATACATAAAAAAATCGGTAAAATTTATTATGGAGAAGAGAGAGAAAAAAAATAAAATAAATCACATCTATTTTTTTTTTATTTATACAAAGGTCACACCCATTTTTTATATATACATAAAATAAAATTTACGTGAGTAACATGATAAAATATTTCCTTTACATTTAATGGTGTTTGCATGAGCACGTACAACAACAGTATTAAAACATACCATAGCGCAAATGCTTTGCCACAAGCGTATTACGGAGACAATTAAGGGGTTTGGATTAGGATTAGGATAAAAACTCATATTTTTTAAAGTTATTCATCTATATTTTATAGGAGAGGTTATATTGGCAACTTTTTTTCTTATAAACTATATTAAGGGGGTATATTGGATTAGAATTTTAAAAGATTTTTTTGAGATAATTTTTTTTTATAGATTTTAAAAGATTATCTAGAATCGGAAAGACTTTAAAGACTTTTTTTACAATCAAGATTTCATAAGATTGGATTTTAAAAGATTTTAATAGAATTTATAAGATTTGAAATGATAATATAGATTTATAATATTTTAAAAAATCATATGAATTTTTAACAAACATTCAAAATTACAAGAGTCAATAAAAAAGGGAAAGATTATACTTACAACCTATTTTTGTTTACAACCTTTTACAATCATATCTTAACAGTTAATTTCCGTCAATCAACGGTTATTATTCATTGCAAATTAAATATTGATTAATGAGTTTGATTTGTGAAAATAATAACCGTTGGTTGATGAAAATCAACGGTTAAGATATGGTTATAAAGGGTTGTAAACAAAAGTAGGTTGTAAGTATAACATTTCTCATAAAAAAAATAACAAAGAAATGCAATGAAATTAATAAAAAAAGAGTAAAACCTAATATAATTTTCAAAATCAATAAAACATAATATAATTTTTAACAAACATTTGAAATTACTAAACAACAGCTTTTCACATATCTAAAGTTATACTAGTACTCAAAGCATTAGCATCTTCTCGTTTCTACTCTTGGGTTTGACTAATCAGTTAAAATTAGCTTTTTCATTTGGTATCAAAGCTATGCATATATGATTATAAGACTCAATTTTTTAATTATTAAAATAATTCTAAATTTGCATATAAGACCTAAAGTTCATGATAAAATTTCGTTTAGAATTTTTTGCAATTGATCTTGAAAATCTTGGGGGTTTTGTTATACGTGATGAGAGTTTTCTAACCATATATCATGAGCATATTTTCATTGAATATTCTAAGAAAATTTCGAATATAATTTTTGAGTTTTATTACATGAAAGTTTAGAAAATTAATTTCTCAATTTTTTTTCAATCGATACATTGAAACCTTAAATTGCTTTGAGGTTTTTGAAAAACAAGTTTTTAGTTATCTATTGACACAAACATCAGTAAAATTAACTCAACACCTCGAAAAAATTTTGACCTACCAAACACCTTTTAGTAACTTACAAGAAAAAAAAATTTCTCATCATATTTCCAAAAATTATTTTTTCCCTATAAAATTTTTTCCTTTTCTAGCAAACACTTCTTAAGGTCCCGTAGCAGGATTATATATGAATTCTCGGGAAAGGTCGGTAGGAAAAACAAGAAACTCACGTTTGGTTGACGAAAAAGTGAAAACTTTGCCGAAAAAATTGTTTTCCCGGATTTGTTTATCCTGTGTGCAACTTTGTATAAGGTCACTATAGATGAAAGTCCATAGTTTAGTTGGAAAAATTGCTTGTCGAGGGAAAGTAAAAAATAAGGGTTTTATTTATCTTAACAAACAGGAAAATCACAATGTCTCCAGCCCTCGTATCGGTAAGTGAGCCACTTTCTCTTTTTTTGTTTTTTTTCTCTCACTTTGGTGGATCCCAATTTTGAATGTGTCTGCAGGAACAAAAATTTATTTTACTGTTACTTAAGAGTAATAAATCCCAAAAAATAAACAACGATTTGGTGGACGAAATTAACCCTGTGATTGGAGAAAAGGGGTGTCATAAAAAAAGTGACCAGAAACAGGTGCACAACTTGGTCTTCTTCTTCCTGAAGCTCATCATCTTGTGGCTGCTGACCTAGTGCAAGCGGTGCTAAATAGAGATTAACCAAACTGAGCCAGGAAGCCACTACAAGGTTAGAACCAAAGACTATGGCTCGTCGCCTAGTAACAGTGGCAATAACAGAGGGAAGGTTCTTTGTTGAGGAGGGTCGAGTTAGCAGTGACAACGGAGAAAGCTTACTTTGGAGAGAAAACAGTGCCATGGCTCCCAGTCCCATTGTAGCACACTAATCTAAGTGTTCAAATCAAAAGGACCAAAACTTTGAAGATGTATTCGGCCTCAGTGAATGTGGCTCCCACAAAAAACCAGCGACTCACACAATACCCACATCTCTATGAAATCCTCAACCATGAGTAACGTTATTACATTTTTTGAATGAAAAGGAAAAGTGAAATTATTTTTGTAAAATAATCGCAGATTACTACTAATATTTCATAATTAACCATCAAATATTTCTGAGGAAATATGGATCTACTAAACAGCATTTCAATAACATTTCAGTAAAAAGAGTTTTCTTACTATATTCCTGAAATTCATGATTCTCATGTAAAAAAATTTCTCTTCTACCAAATACTTTGTACAAATTTTTGGAGGTTGGTATTTTCTTTTTCTTTTTTTCAAAAAAACGCACTCATACTACGACTTGGGTTAAGTGATTCTACTTATCATCATATAGATTCTACGGATCTTATTTTATACTTTGTTATAATACTTTCTTTTTTTTTGGATTGAAAGGAAAACAGTTATAATACTTTTTATAGAACACATAAAATCAATTATATGAAAATAATTCTTTTATCAATGAGCCAAATAACAAAGTATAATAAGTGGGCTTATATTACATTTCAACTGAAAATTTTTATGGGTTTCTCACAATTATATTGTTCATATTTGGTCTATGTTTAATCAATACGAGATTTCATCGTTATTCATATTTGAATATTTTCAACGAGAATGTTATATTTATTATTATTTTAAATTTACCATTCTTACAACCTGTTTGATTATTGTTGGATTAATTTGAAATCAACGACAATTATTTTATTTTATTTTTCAAATATTAATTTCAAAATTCAATGATAACCAAATAGTTTATAAGAAAGATAAATCTAAAATAGGGGTACGTTATAACTGCCCCTTAATATAATTGTGGTACAGTATAAAGAAAATCTATCTACGAAAAAAAACATAAGGAAAATCTCAGTTTTAATTTTGACTGGTCAACGAGGAGATTATTTGGTGGAGCACATTTAAATTGGTTTAAGACCATTAACATTAAATTTGAAGAATAAACAACATAATAGCTGAATTGAACCGGAATATTAATTCAAGGAAATTTTTTTTATCAAGTATTACGTGATTAACGGCTTTTATGTGTGTTAACATATTCATGTATGCAAGATTATCCCATTCTAATAATTTTTTTTTTTGTGTGGATAATTTAATTTTACCCTCTTGATCAAATCAGTCCCTTGAAAGCAAGCATCTTTAGTAAAGAATCATCTCAACCAAAAAATTTAAGGTTTTGAATTAGGGCATTTTTAATGGTTTATACTATTTTCTAACACATTTCCTCACACAAAAGTTCTTTGGACTTAAAACATGGATATTGCATTAGCCTAGTGTTTTTTGATTTTATCTTGTGCTTAATTAATTCTACTTGAAAGTGAGAGACGATGGTGATCGAACTTGTGATCTTATAGACACTAAAACTCTAATATCATGTAAAAAATCATCTCAATCCAAAATCTTAAAATTTTGGATGATAGATTTTTAAATAATTTATACTGTAACGGATTTCCTCTCTAAAACACCAATCCAATTATTCAAACACAAGTAGATCAGAAGACATATTATAGTCATAGGCTATATAGCCTTGAAGTTCCTTTTAAAACCTAAGAAGTAGTATTTACTAGGATGGGACCCCAAACATCTCATAATTCCAAGAAACCTCTGATTCATGATTATGAGTTTCAGTGAAGAAAAGGGAGTTCAACTCCAGTCCTGTGTAACGATGCAATAAGCTCTTTACCTTTTAACAGCCTTGCAGAATAGCACAAAAAATGTTCATGACCTAACTAATAAGCTTAAGGGCCCTGCATGAACCAGTCTAAAAAAGCACAATAGTTAGAAGATGAAAGATTCTATGATCTCTTCTCATTAAATGATGCCTCAAGCGTATTTATTTTACCCTTTTTGGCAGCAGGTCAAGTAGCAGCATGAAAAAGTTTCATGGCTGAAAGCAAATAATAGCAGGAAACAACTGAGCAAATCATTCTTTTGTTGATTTCCTTGACTAATTGGTTACCGTTGATCTCCTCCTTCACATGCATGAAAGTTCTATTATGTAAATTGTCAATTTAATCTCTATAGAAATTGTATTAAGTGCGTACAAGTAATCACATTTTGAATCATACTTTCAAACATTGGAATAAAAAACAAAAAACATCAATAATGTACGGGAAAAGATGGGTTTCTGTGACACCGTTTCACATACTATTATTGGCATACCAAAGTTCAAAGACTTAAAATTTAAGTGTCTTTCAATTGTGAAATATATCAATAATTATATGATTTGCTCCTGATAGTAATGTGTAATATATCCATTTAATTAAAAGAAAAAAAATTGAAGGGGGAGAGGGTGGTGTACGTTTGAATAACTAAGGTAGTGTTTGGTTCGAGAGAAATTTTTTTTTACTGGGGAAATGTAATTGATTGGAAAATGGTTGGAAAGTGAGTTTGGTAAGAAAATGTAAAAAAAGTTGTTTGGTTGACCCAAATATTACCAGGGAAATTTATTTAAATATGCAAAATCTATGTTCGGGAGAAACTTTGCACCTGTTTTTTCACTTCCCCAGTTATCTCAAAATATCACATCTCAAGTGGTATTCTGTAACAGTGAATTTCATCCAAAAATCAACACAAAAGTCATTTTCCCATCTATCCTATTTGTCTGGTATTTTTTTGAAAAACCTGAACCAAACATGGTATTTTCCAATATCCACTTACTCTTTCCCATCAATCCCAAATTAAACCTTCAACCAAACACTACCTAAAGGCAATAATAGCTAAAATACAAAATATCACAAGTTATTGTGACAGGACAATACATTAAAGGCCATTCAAATGGTGTAGGCAATTCTTTCTACATCAACACAACATCCCAAGTGAGGTAGGCCACCACATAGTGCTCACTTTTATCTTGGAATCTAAACAAAAGTATTAAAAAACAAATGATCAACGAACACATCAATGGTTCTCAGCTTCCTAGCAAGAAAGTACTTGCTTTTCTGCTACTACATAAGATTCAGGTCACCCTGGGTAACTTCCTTTCTTTTGAGGTGAAGGGGTTATAACTAAAATAAGTCTAACATCACAAAAGCCTAAATAAAATAAGAAGCCAATAGTGATAACCTTTCTAACTCTTTTTCTCATCAATGTATGTAACACAAATCATCTCAACCATCTTCTAAGGTCACCAGTTGAAGAAGGAGAAACCTCACCACCAAGACTCTCAGTGCAGCAAGAAGAGTAAGTGGATTGCTGCTCCAAACCAAAATGTGATACACCAACACTCTTGAAGCTTGGACTCCTTAAACTATGTCCATAATTTCCATAATTCACTCCTACATTATAAGGATCAGGAGCAGGGAAAGAGAGCCTTTTCTTTGCTGATCCAACCCTGTCCCTCTCTGGTGTGCCTGGCCTCTGCCTCGGCGCACTCTGTGATCGAATTCGAGCCTTTGCAGATTCAGTTGCTGCCATGTAATTAGGCAATGCAGCACCACCATTACTTGTTCCAACCCTACCATTTTGGTACAAGTTTCCTATATAATGATAATTAGACCTCAGGCTTGGTGTTTGAGAGGTCTGGTAGCTTCTATCTTCTCTAACACACCGAGGGCTTGCGGACCGGACTTGGATTGGTCTTGATTTTGCAGGAGAAGGGGTTGCAGGGGATTGGTGAATTGATCCATTTTGGTGTGTTCTGTGAAGTGGCGAAGCAATGGAATGTCTTTGTGGTTGGTGGTTTGGGTTATACTGATAATTTGGATGTGATCTTCTATAATTGGTTCCAAGATATGAGTAAGGTTGAGAGGTGTCAATTTCAACAGTTTTAATGGGGTCTCTTTGATCAGTTGAAGCTCTTCCCCTACTCTCCCATGGCTTCGTAGCCATCCACCGATCGAGCCATTTCGGTCTCTCTTCGAGCTCATCTTCATTTCCAATTGATGATGTCCTACCATTCCTCCAAATCTATGACATTGTCACAAGTACAACCAATTAGCCAATGAAATTCAACTCCAAAATATCAAGAAAATATAGTGAACAGAATGAAAACCTGTTGAGAAAAAGCTTGGGACAAGGACTTGTCCCTTTTCATAGCTGCTTCCTTCCTCTGCTTCAACATGGCCTTCACTTCTTCAACTGTGTGTGGACGTTCATCCCAATCATCTGCAATGCTGCTTCCCTCTCTTGACTATCAAATCAACCACAGAAACCCCATTCAAACACATAAGCCTTTAAACAGAACACAAAAAAAAGTTGAGAACTATTCCCTTGCTTTTGTAAGCAAAAAGTACTTTTTTTTTTTATCCCTCAAACATAATTGCTGATTTTGAAAGCATGAAAAAGTAACACAAAGTTTAATCATTGATGATGGTTTAAACTTTTAATCAAATCAAGTCTTTCTCACTCACTATTGATTTCCTATCTGAAATGTCCTGAAGATACCGAGATTCCCAAACGCTAGTAGTGTCACTGAAAGTGGATTTTCTACTTCCTTCAAGTGAAGAAGACCTTATCCGCTGGTCAAGGACCCTTGCTTGTACTCTAACCAAAGCCTGCATGCACCGAAGTGTCATCTTTGCTTGCTTCCTAACATTATGACCTCTTACTAAAGCTTGCAACTTCACCAACCCCTTAAGTGCACGAAGTGCTCTTCTAGCCTTCAATGTTCAAGGAAAAAAAAACAAAAAAAAACTCATTCAGATTAACCTCAGTTGCATTTCATTTCACATAAATCTTTGTCACGGTTAAGAATTTTAGATCTGCTTTGGTTGCACTAACCAGATATCCTCTGAAAGCAGTTTGAATCAAAGTAGCAGCATAATGCTCCCTAGCAAGACTAGCAGGTTTGGTCAACCTTGCAACCTCAACAGCAGCCTGAGCGGTGGCCATGGCAGCCTCGGCGGTGGCAACCGCCATAGCAAGCGCATGCTTTTGATCTTGGTCTTTCCTTGAAGCCCCACTTTCAGTAGTTTCAGCCACATCATGCTTCAACTTTGTTGGGGTTTGTTGTGTTATCACAGTTTCATGATTCACAGGTTTTCTGAATATCCATCTTCTTTTTTCTCTCTTCTGCAAAATTTAAAAAAGGTTTCATTTTCATTTTCATTTTCATGATCTAAATTGATCTGGAAAGTAACATAGAAAGGGATCATAGAAACTAGGAAAATGAAAATGAAAATGAAGGAGCTGAGTTTTAGTACCTTCTCTTCATCTTCTTCTTGATCATAGTCCTCTCTTCTTTTGCTACTCCTTTTGTCACTGTCTTTGGTGGGAGATCTGAATGCTCTTTTGACAGCAGTTAACCACGAGCTACTACCCTTCTTCCCCATGTAAAACTCAACAGCATTTACAGCTATAAACAGACCCCAGAAAGTGCCAGAATTGTGCTAAGAGTTAAAGAGAGTGAGGTCCAACAGGGTTGGGTAGGAAATGCTCCCCAACCAAGTCTTTTAACCGTGTCTGAAGGAAAAGAAAATGAATAATAGTAATGAGAACCAAGGCATATACTTGTGCTGCTTTGGTTCAATCTTTGTTATTTTTATCAAGTACACGTTCAGCAATGCTGCAGTAAACTTGTCCTCATCATCATACCTCTGTCATTACTTAGTTCTCTCAAATTCTCAATACTGCAAGTAAATGAATCTTTCTAAAATATAATAATATCTGATCCACCTCTCACTTATTAGTTAAATGATTCTCACTTATTGTTTCATTCAATTTTGGTATCAGGCTAGATAAAGAGTAACAAATGAGATTATTTTTACCAACATGCAATAAATTATTGAATAAAAATCATGCTTCAAGATTGTGTTGATTGAGTACATGGTTTAAACTTTGAAGTATGTACTAAAATTAATTTATTTTAAGTGGGGAGTCAGAGACAGGCTGTGTGTTGAGAGGGGCAGTATAGAATATTTAATTTATTCAGTAGATTAATGTAAATGGCAAAGCTTATGGATTTTAGAGGCATGGGGTGGAAAGCAGTGGCAGTGTCAGAAGCTACCTTAAGCTCTTAATGTTAATGAATAATAATTGAGAGAGTGATGGGTGGGTGTGCGTGTGTAAGAGTGATATACTAAGGAGGTTGAAAACTTGAAACCAACGAAAAGCATATATTATAAAGCAAGTGGAGGGGTGGATAAGAGAGAAGCCAAAAGTGGCTTTTTTTATAATGGAATCAGAAAAAGCTACTATTTCTTTTTTGGTGATAAAATAGCTTTTGGAGTGAGCAATTCTCTTTACTTTGTGAAAAACGGGGGGGCATAATAGCTAAGCTGAGCAATTCTCTCATGGTGTCACGTGCAGTGAGCAGGTCGAGACATATCAGGTGGGTGATGGACCATGGTGAACCTCACTTAGAAACAATCAAAACCATGTGCTGTGGCTTCACTTAATGAAAATTAATAATAATAATAATTTGCAATAAAATCACATGGCACAAGAATCCATGCAGCTTTTGTCTTAATTCTCAAACTAAACCACTTCTCTACTTCAAAGCTCAACTGCTAAAGTACTCTCACGGTCTCACCCAAAGACTGGTCAAACTGTTCTAGATTCTCTTGGGAACTCAATTACTTGGTTTATTATGTGGGTAAACCTAATCTTATAATGTATAAGAAAGTATATTTTATATTGTAAAACAAAATTAAGGTGGGTTCCAATTATCTTTTTTATGCAGGTTGCTTTTTTTTTTTTTTTTTTACAGATAATATAAGAATATCACATTCAATTTCCTCTGCTTATTTTTTTTTCGGAATACAATCCTAAAGTTAATTTCTCATTGAAATAGAAAATATATTGAACCATTATCACTGGAAAAAAAAATATGAAAATAACATTTTTTTTTTCTCTTACCCAAAAAGAATTCCAAGGATGCTCTATCTTTTTTCTACCTGTGATTAGAAGGTGCAAAGAACTATTAAAATTCCATATTTTTCTTGAATGTGGAATGGTGTCACTTGTCAACAAGCATTTAAGGCTGGACAAAAGAGTTCCCTATCTTCGAAGCAAAATGCTTCTATCACAAAATAATATAAGCAAAATATCCAATTTTATCTACTGGGATATTATACGACAGCGTTAAGTTTTCAGTATTCACTTTACAAAGTAGAAATGTAATGCATCTCTCGTCGTGAAATATATTAAAGCAATTTCGAACTTCCTAAGAAATAAGATGGTTCGTGATTTGGATTCGATCAGTTTGAAAGTTAATTTTTTCATGTGATAATTAACATGACCATGTTATTGTGGGGCAATCATAATCATATATGGGTAAATTAGTGGTGATAAAAGAGAAGAGAAAAAAAAATATAAGGATAGGAAGTTACACAATCATCACCGTTGATTTAATTATTAATGGTTAAGATCCTCTCATATGACATGATCATGTTAAATTACACGTAAGAGGATCCATTTTCGACCAGTTTTGAAAGAAAAATCATTCGATCCAATTCTTTCGATTTGATCATATAATTATTTATTCAGTTTGAATTTTTTTTCAAATCCGATCCAATCCAATCCAATTTTATTTGGTTTGGATTGGATTTATTTTTGATTTTTTGAAAAGTCTAAAATTTGTACGATGATTATTGTGCAAATAACACATCTTTTGTATATATTGGTTTTGTAAAGTTTGTATGATGATTATTGTACAATCTAGAAGTATCTGTAAACGATAATCTAATTTTCAATATATTACAACAAAAAGTTGAATTACCATCTTTTACCTCCAACAAAAAATTTATAATGTGGTTGCTTGAGATACGGAGACCCAAATTGTTATCATACAAAGAAACTGCTCTACAACAATAACTCATGTAATAAAAATATATAATGTAGTATATATATATATATATATATATATATATATATATATATATATATATATGGGGTTTACATTTCTGCAGCTACTGTACGTGTAGCAATCAAATATTTGTCATATACATACTTGAAAGTATTAGATGCGGGAAATCATAACCATACAAAAGATGAAAACATTAAATGTAGGAAATCATAACCATACACCTGTCGTTGTTGTATGTAAAGCGGCTGCAGAAATGATTTTACCTATATATATATATATAATATATCTTATCCAAAAAAAATTAATAACATAGATTAAGCACAATTCACTTTCTCCAACATAATGAGTTAATTAGTTTTGGTTTAGAATTTTGCTATATGGTTTTCGGACTATGATTCGAGAATAGGTAGAGGATAAAGTTGCAGAATCATTTGATCGGTTTGAATTGGATTGGTTTTCACTTACCAAATCGAAAACCGATTCAATCCAATTAAATTTTGAGATTTTTTTAATTTTAGATTAATTTGGTTTTTGATTTTTTGATTCGGTCATTACTATTTGAATTGGTCGATGAATACCTCTATTAAAGGAGATGGATTAGGCGCATTTTGTCATGCGCTCGAGGGATGTGTAAGGTGAATCTAAAACAAAATGGGCATTAATTGTAATGATTTGCCAACTATTAATTGCATCTTTAAACATAACCAAAAAAAAATCACTTTATTCTTAGGATTTTATGTTTGTTATGTTACATAACATAACAATATTTTTTTACACACACAATAGAGGGGAGAGAAAGTAAAATGCTGAAATGGAGAGAAAAATATATGGGTCTCACTGTTTTAATGTGTGTATAGAAAAATATTGGAAGAGTGATCATTTTGTCACACTTGGCAAAAAATTTACCAGACTGCCACGCCAACAGTAAATTTTGCCAAAATGTCACGCTGCACCCTTAGCCGTCGTTGAAGAAGTCTGAAAATAATTAAAAGTTAAGATAAGATAATGCGAATTAGTTATATTTTCAGACTTCTTCAACGACGGCTAAGGGTGCAGCGTGGCATTTTGACAAAATTTATTGTTAGCGTGGCAGTCTGATAAATTTTTTTGTCAAGTGTGACAAAATAGTCACTCTTTCTAAAATATTGGTATGTCATATAACATAACAAATATAAAACTCTTATTGTTATGTTTTTCCGACAATAGAAAACTGTATACCTATACACAGTCATAATTTTTTTTAATGAAAATGCAATAAAAAAATACGAATAGGTTATTCTAAAAATACCGGTGATGGTGTTGGTATATAGTTAAAAATAAAAAAAAAATAAAAAACCTTCACCTTCCATGCTTATAAAGGAATTAATTTCATCTAAATATGAAAAATTAAAAACAATAACTTCAAACATGTGATATGTAAAGAAAAAATGGGGAAGAAAAACTTTGCTGACAATTGACATGACTCGTTTTCTCATTCTAATTGAATAAAAGAGTATTTTGTACTTAGGAGTCTCCAATAATAATTTCATTAAAAAAAGGATTTTGATTCCGTCATGTTATATAAAAAAGGTGGAAGATTTCTCAGGACACAAAAACGGTAGACCTCACATTTAAAAAAAATAAATGACACTGAAATCGAAGTAAGTGCAGGAAATTGATTTTATGTTTTTGCAACATAATCTTTATATTTCCCTAAAAAAAAAACATAAGAGAACTATTTTATTTTTTGGATTTTGTTTCTTGCTGTTTAAATTTTTAAAATGAATATTGTTTTTTACTTTATTCCCTTATATTTGTGGAATTATGACTGAAACTGGAGACCAATGTTATAAAAATTGGACTGACCTGGCCGGGTCGATCCGGAAACATGTGAATCGGTCATGTAATCTGTCCGATTTTCATATTGGGTCGGTCATGTTACAGAATCGGTGTGACCCGGCTGATTTTAGTAAAAATCGGTGATCCGATCGGTTCAATCGCTAACTCGGTCCGGTCTATTAAAAAAAACTAATTTATTTTAATAAATTAATGTCTTCTTTTTTTTACTCTTAAACACAAATGATTTGTTTTCTTTTAAAATATTTGAGTGATTTGTAGCTTATTAACTTACATAGATTATGTACTTACAAGACTAATATTATCTTGATTATGCAATATGCAGGGAATTTTGATTTGATTTATAGTTAAAGATGTCGTTTACTGAACCTGAAACACTAGTACACAAATATTATATGTTTGATTGATCTTTTGTTGGACAATGTTGTGTATTTTATTATTTTCATATTAAAATATTTAAAATTGGTATATTTTTTTATAAGTATTTAAGTATATTTATAATTTTTTAATATAAATTATAGATTTACATATATTTATCGGGTCATGCGGTTGAATCAATAACTCAGTACCTCGACCGAATCAATAACCGGGTTGGGTTTAATAACGAAGACTGAAAAATTGAGAAAGGGGCTTAAGAGAAAGAAATTCAAACTGGGCTTTCTGAAATTTAATGTTACACTGGCCCTAGGCCCTAGCATACATTGGCTGTGTTGTGACTGAGACTTATGCAATATGGAGCCTTAAAAACAAGATAACTTATTCTATCGCTCAAGACCTCTTCTTTTTTTCCCCCTAATTTTATTCTTTTGAAAAATTACAGCGTAAATAATAAATTTTATTCACATATGATATGGTGGTTTCATAATTTATTTTATTTTTTACAAAAATCGACATCTTCCGAAAGGAGATTGATGCCTTTAATTTCGTATTTCTTTTAGTGTTAAATTGTTTATGAAGATGAATGATGATTAATCTAGACTTTATATTAATATTATGTTCTGCAAATTTCTGTTACAAATAAAATGTGAGAAAATATTTTTCCCAACTAGTATATTTGCGGTGGGGATGAATTTCTTCACGGCTTCACCTAGAGTTAGAGATCATTTAAAATATATCCAGAATTTGAACTGGAAAACACTGATTAAGATGGAATAATTCTGCCAATTGCTTCACATACTTTAAAAAAAGAGAGATAATTTAAAATATTTAAAAAAATTCAGATTTAATTACACTTGAAAACAAAGAGAAAATCATAATTTCAAGTTACTTAAAAGGGCAGCCTCTTACACTTATTTTCTATTTAAATAAATATTACTTTTTTAGATTTTTATAAAAAAATAAAAAATAATAATAATAATAGTATAATACGTTCATACGACTATTTCTTAGCATTAGAGGTACAACCGTGGAAATTGAAATGTTAATATATCCTACGAATAAGACGATAAGAAAAATTGTCACTCCCACAAACTATTTATTTTTATAATAATGAAGTTTGAGATTTGAAATCCAGTGTTCCGATTTTTTTATTTTTAAAATTATTTTGTAGAATAATTATTAGAAATATGTCTTTTCTTTATTATTTTTTATTTTAAAAGTTAAAAATCAAAACACAAAATTTAAATAAGTAGACATGTTTTCTAAAAACAAAAATATAGTTATAAATTATAATTTCTTTTTTTTACAAAACAAGTCTTATCAAATGACTTTTTTATTTTTTTATTCTGAAAATCAAAAAACTATTTTTAGAAACAGTATGACCATCTTCCCCCACCCTGCCAGAAAGCTTTAATTTAACAAATTATTAGCATTAAGAATAAAATGAAGAAAAGAAAAATAAAGGCAATTTTGGCAACATTGAAAGAAGAAACTTCACCCACCAAACCAAAATTTAAAACTGGTCAACAAAAATGATGCCAGTCACCACCCCATACACATATTAATTGTAGGCTAAAAAAAGTATTCAAAAGGTACCAACAACTATTGAACTCCACATATGAGATCTCTCCCTTGGATTCCATATAATTTTGTAGTTGTACACAGAGCAAAAGAAGAATTATGTTATCTATAAGAAAAAGAATGTAAAGTGACAACGAAAGATGAATGGTAAAAACCATGATTATATGTGAAAAAGCAATAAACAAATAGACGTTAACATTTTCTATTCAACTAATGTCCTATCTTAGAAAAAATAAAAAAATATATCAATCATAAAAGACAAGCTCTAACCTATTGAGCTATCCAAGCTCAACTTTTTCTTCCTAATTGACCAGCCAATCAAGGGTTCGAAGATATAATAAAATGGATCTTGTGAACCCATTTACTGCAATATAAACAAAGGACTATATGTCATTGGATGCTCCCAGTACCCAAGACATAACATATCTTTGGTTGTTGAATTACTCTAAAGGGTAGAATCCAAAGCTCAAATAGTTGGATTCTACCTAATGCTGATTACATGAATGAATATGATCTTCCCCTACTTCTACAAGTATTTTAAAAATAACCTTATTTTCCTAAAACAAACAGGTATGATGATGAATTGAGAATGAGTTAAGGTCGGTTAGGAGCACAAGCTTTTGTTGGGTTCCATAGCTGAAGTTTTGGATTCAGCTTTTGATGTGGTTAGCCTTGTAAAGATCAAGATGTAGACTTTTGTTTAGAATCTGTTCCAGAGGTTTTTGAACTACCAACAACCCCAGTTGCTGCCACACTTGCTGATATTATTGTAGTTGGGGTTGAAGTTGCAGTTGCAGTTGCTGAAAGTGTTACATTTTAGCCTTCAATACACAATTCAAATAGGATTGTGCAAGAGTGAAAGAGACAATATCAACAAAAATAACAATATTTTGCATTAGACTTATCACCTGCACTAGTAGTTGGCACTGCCAGTGAAGAAGGAAATGACAATATCCCAGCGGAGCCATAATGCTGAGGCATAAATGAAAATTGTGCCATTTGAGGGTATTGAACTCCAAAACCATGAGTTTGGATACTCTGTGCATATTGACCATAGAAAGGGTAGATATTATTGATCAACCCTACTGCCCCAGATGCTCCCACAGATGGGAGGTAAGGTGAAAATTGTTGAACTCCATATACACTATAATAGCTCTGCAATAGTTTTGCACACAAAGAGTATACCACAGTAAAAAAAATAAAAAAATAATGCTGATACTTCTAAGCACTTTATTACATTAACACATACCGTAGGATACAAGGTGTCTTGTGAATATCCAGAATATCTGTCAGTATCCAGAAGGGACATTAGAGAAAAAGGCAAAAAAATGTTATTAGAAAATGACATGCGCAACATAAAAATGATCTATTCACATAACAATTTCATGTTACCCGTAAGTTGAATAAGGAAATGTGTATTGCCTAGTGGGTTGATGGAAAAATGTAGATGTAGAACTATGATAAGCAGGTGATTCCACCAGTCCAGGTGGAGGCCTCAACCTTCCTGCACCTACAATGTGAGTTTGCATTTCAATCCTTTTTTCATCTTATGGCACACGGAACCAAATTTTTGTTTTAAATTCAGTAAATAATCAACCATTATAGGTTGTAGCTTGTTGCTAGGATGAGTTAAATTTAGGAAAAAGTTCACAAATATCCTGTGATTTGCTTTAGAATCACTTATGCCTCCGTAGTTTTTTATTTATCATATATGCCCCTATAATTTATAAAAAGTAAAAAACCACAGAGGCATATATGATAAAAAAACATATCTTTTTGCAAATCACATGAGTATATGTGATAAAAAAAACACAGAGACATAGATGCTTCTGAAATAAACCACAGGAACATTAGTGAACTTTTCTCTTAAATCTATTAAGATGAGAAAACTAAGAAACTAAATTCTCTGCAGAAATTGCTGAGCGAATTCAGAACAAAAAAAATATTGCTGCAGTTAAAGGCTACCTTTATATCTTCTTACTTTTTATTTAAATGGATATTGTATTATAATCATAAAATATTAAGATAAAGGAAAGAACAAATTAGATAAAGGAGAATGGAAGATTTGAGACCATGCTGAAGAGTTGGTGGTCGATTCTTGTTTGCACCAAGAGATGCAAGATTGCAGTTTGCCCTCCTCCCATCAATAATTGGAGATGGGTTCTGACAAGCTCTCATGGCTGCTTCTGGATCCTTAAATGTGACCTTCGAAAACATAACATAGACTCATTGTTCAAGATCATAAACTTATTAAGTTATAACCATAAATGGAATAAACAAAAAAAATATAAACTATGCAAAGATGTCAGAATCATAAAAATAAAAATGCAAATGGGACTTACAAAGCCATAACCCTTGGATCTCCCTGTGTTCTTATCTGTGATAACAACAGCCTCCAGGATCTCTCCAAATTGCTCAAAATACCTCCCCATTGTGTCCCTCTTGGTCTCCCAAGCTAACCCTCCCACAAAGATTTTGGTAAATGTAGTGTCATTATGCTGGTCCAGAATGTTACCACCCACCATCTGAGATTGCATTTGTTGAGACATTAACAAAATAACAAATGCAAGAAATTCCCAAAGAAGCAATTAGCCCCAGAATCTCAAATATATTATAGAGAAGCAAATAGGGTGAAGAAAACCCAAAACAGAAACAAACCCAAAAATCCAAAGACAAGGACGAGGAGAGAAAAGGAAACGGTTAATAAAGGCTGGAAAAGAAGCTATTTGTTCTTCTAAAACCCATCAATGAAAACACTCGTGCACTCATGATTCTGTTCATGCTCGTCCTTCTTACTTTAAGGAATTTTTTTTTTTAATTTTTCTTTTTCACTGAGGCTATAATTGCTACTTGCATACATTCACAACAAGAAGAAGAAGAAAGTCCTAAGATTCCTCAACACTAGTACCCCAAACAGAAAGAAAAATCATTACTGTCTAAGAAAATATTATATACCAAGAACCTTGCTTGTTTGTTGTGCCGTGGAGAAGAAGAGAGAGTATAAGTATACTATGCAAAGTTAAAGTAAGCAAACAAAAAAGCTGCCAGAGGGTGGCCACAACAATAGAAGGTCACTGAGGCTGTCTCCAATGAAATGTGAAAGACCAAAAGACCAACTTTTCTTGTTGTAACCCACTTTCCCTTCTTTACTATAATAAAAACCAATGAGTAATATAATATATTTGTGGCGAGCCATTTTGGTATCTATTCGACCTTGTCTTCATTTCCAAGTTGATTGACTCCAACCTGTCCTCCAAATCTATGACATTGTTGTGCTGCTTTCAACCACCAACCATATTAACCTTGGAATCTCAGAAAGTAAAACAAAGTGAACTTGTTGGCACAATGCTTGAGTTCTACTAGTACTTTTCTTGCTTCATGGATGCATGCATGGTCCTCTTTGTTGAAAATCGACAATAGCACAACACACACAAACCAAAAATGAAAAGAGAAAGGGAGAGAAAATCGAGATGGCTTTCTGGTGATCCTGTCAATAATAGTACTCATCTGAACGTGAAGTATGAGACATACCCAATACTTTTCTCATAATCTTGGTCATGGTCATGGTCCTTTGTTCTTTCTTCCGCTACTCCTTTTATCACAGTCTTTTGTTCGAGATCTGAAAGCCCTTTTCACAGGAGCTACCTTCATCAAAATGAAAGACAAAATTAAAACATTTCTTATTTACAGCTAAGCTAACATAAAGTAGAAACAGAATCTATAAAGGGTCAGAAAACTACAGAGTCTAAAGAGTAATGGGTTCCAACCTCCATTATTAACTAAGCTTGATAGAAAGAAAGAAAAAGAAGATAAAACAGAGGAGCATGGGATAATCCAGTAAAGCTCAGATTCTATACAAGTCCATCTCAAGTCCCCATTTTCATTTGAATGTGTTATGGATATGAATATCATATCCCAACTACCTACCAGGGTATCTAGTAAAAGATAGAGTCACCAGCATCTCAACAACTCTAAACAGTCAAAGGGCACAAGATAAGGATCACATTCCAACAGAAAGAGAGTTAAATCCTATTGCAATTGGGGGAGCTCAAAAGGCCCAAGCCTAAGAAGGTAATCCTTATAAATAAGAGTCTAAGGACTCTAGGTAAACACTTTTAACCTATTTACTGATACTGCCCACACTGTGCACACACCTACCCCTTGGCTATAAGCCTATTGCTTGTGCGCAGTGATTGGGACCTCGGCTATAAGCCTAGTATACACCTGATATACACTATCTCTGAGCGCATTCCTCACGGTATAGCAATACGGTCAATCCAGGACCAAACAAAATGTAATTTTGACCCTTGATTTCTCAACTTTGTCCTAAATTACATGTCAATATAAATAATATGTTTTAGAACCGAACCTTTTTATTGTTGAAAATCAAAAATCACACACAAATCGAGAAATAAAAGAGAAAGAGAAGAGAAAATTTTGATGATTTACCTAGTTCACCCAATGTAGTCTACGTCCTTGTTTGTACTATATTCACTTCACTGCCACTCGTTAAAAGTCATTCGGTTTACAAGGAGAATATAAATAGGATTAGAAAATCCTAACAACAGCTATTTATGGGCCCAAGCCCAAACTACTAAGAAAAAGAAAAAATTACAATAATTCAGAGGCCCACAACAGTACATAGCCTCTACGGACCTGGGGGCGCTATCCCCTGGACCCCTACCGGGGCGACTTTCCCGAACACCCATCAGGGCAGCTTCCCCGAACTCCCGCCCACTCACGTGGAAGCGGGACCCCAGTTGCCTTTCTATTGACCCCGACAACAGAGACCCTCATCAGCATGCGAAGTACGAGCCATATCCAATATTCATTTCTATTGTTGTAATGGATCAACAATTTCTATTAATGTTGTGAAAGAGAATTATGTGTTGTTGTGCATTCAAAAGGAAAATGTTTTATTGAAAGGACATCAAACCAAAAGTGGCTTTTCTCTCACTGAAAATTGTAATGAAACTTTATCTGAAAATCAAGTTGAATGAACTGAGCAAATCTCAAATGGTTTCATTCACATGGTGGGAGTACGTATAATATTCCAATAACAAACTATGTGTATAATTCATTTTTATCTTATCATATGCTTCATCAACCCAACGCAGTTATTGTCCTAATTTCCTAAACACTGCTCTAATTGTATTAGATTCTCTTGGAATCATCACTTATTATTTTGGCTTTTACTTTTTTATGTTTTTTTTTTTCATGTTACAGAAGATATTTTTTTTTTATACATACACATAGAAGTGTGTGAGACCTATGTGAGCTTATGTGAGAAAAAGAGAGAAAAAAATGAGTCTCGCATACTTTTATATGTATAGGAGATAAAATTATTTCCTAAATATGAGAAACATTAATCTCTTTAAATTATCTTAAATATAGATACATCTTATTTCTCTACCAAAAAATAGCTCATTTTAAGATAACCTTACCTGAGATTGTAATAAAAAAGGATTATATTCTCACAGGAGATAAGATACCTTATATTGTACTTATAAAACTTATGTGGGTCCTATTATACAGGAAAAGAGAAGAAGAAAAAAATTAAAATAAGCCCCACGCCTTTTTGAGTGTGTAGGAGAGATTTGTTGTCTTCTATCACACGAGACTAATATTTTTTTTATAAGAAAAGGAGTTAAATCTAATTCTTTTTGCTTTTATTTATTTATTTACAAAGAATATTAGATTCATTCAAGAGAAGGTAGAAAATGACCAGCCAAAGGAGTATTTTGCTGTATCTACTTTGTGCATTTTCAATTTTGTGCATTTACATATTACAATTACTTAACTCTCATTTTCTTTATTTGTTTTCTTATATAATTAGAATTGGAAAATGTTAATTTTAAATATTCATTTGATTAAATTATATTAAAAATGTTACTAACTTATATTAATAAATATAAAATCAATTATCACTTAAAATATAGGCTTTAATGTTTCTAAAGTGAATGTAGATAAGTTATCTACATTCGTTCCCAAAATGACGTCGTTTTAGGTTGAAAAATTAAAAAATTATAATGAAAAAGACTATTATAACCCTGAAATAAATTATAATTGCAAAAATATCTTGATTTTCGCCTCAAAACGACATCGTTTTGGACTCACTGTAGATAAGTTATCTACATTGACGGTAGAAAAAGCGAACCCTAAAATAAAATGCTTGAACTTTTGTTTTAGATTAATAGAATTTAGAAAAGAGAAACTTAATAACTATAATAATTAATTATTATAATTTTAAATTTGCAGGCCGGCCTAACCTGTTGCAGGCTAGCTGATGTCCGTTTGGGCCAAATCGAGTTGGGTTAAGTAGAACCAAAAATAGTTTTTTCTTTCTTTCAATTTTATTAATTAAGCTCACACATTTTGTACTATTTAGTTTGATCCATTGGGGCAACTCATTTTGACATATCTAGTTGAGAGGCATGTAATGGAAGTATGTCATTTCAAATCTCACAAAATACTTGATGGCTTTCTTATTTCCTTTTGTATAAATAATTTATAATTTTTATTTGATTTAAGTATATTTCATTGATAATATATCTCTACTTTGTTTATATTAATAATATTAGTATAAGATGCGTCAAAAAATTTATAAATATTATACAAGATAATGCCTTTTAGAAATAATTATTAAAATATAATTAAGATTGAATAAAAAATTTATTTTATAAAATAATTAAATAAATGAAATACCTATAAATATTTTTCATTTTCCGAAAGAATTCAATCAACTTATTAAAATAAATATAATAATATTTTTTATTTAAATTATGTATATAAAAATAAAATAAAAATGAATTATATAATTATTAAATTATAGATGTGAGTCTCTTTATTATATTTTATGATATTATAATTATATTCAATATTTTGAATTTTTTTTTAATTTTTATTACATTTTTAGAGCTAAATAAATTTAATTAGTATTAAATATTTAACTGTAGAGTAAAAAAAGTTATAATTATAGGTATAAAATTTAAAGAATTTTTTTAATGAACCAATATAAAAACTAAGTATATATATGTTAAACAAAAAAAATTAAGTATATAAGTCATATTACCAAAAAAAAGTATATATGTCAATTGTCAAGCCTAAATTCCTAAAAAACGTATGATTTCAATCAAAACCAAAATGAGCCTATACATGATATTAATATTGTTTAAACATAATGATAAATCAAATCAACACATAATGCATAAGTATTTTGCGAAATAAAATCCTTTATCTTTAGAGTATATATTTAAATTTGCTTACCATTACATTTCTTGAATTTATCTTTGAGTAAAAATAAGGAACTCTTCCGACAGTAATCTATAGGGAACTCTTTGTTGTATTTTTTGAGTACAAGTACAACTAGGGATCGTAATGATTACTCCTTCGTGTAAAATGTATGATTACCATGTTTACAAAAAAAAAAAAAAAAGTATGATTACAGTTGCATGAGATTAATATTATTTTCACGTAATGGTGAATTAAACTAACTTATAAAGCACAAGTATTTCCAAAAAAAGAATTACGATACTATATTTGAAATTGC